AATTTACTTTACACAAATTAAAACTTAAAACACTAATAATTAAACACACTAATTCACTTTATTCCGCTCCGAAGCTTCGCTTGTCTCGCCAAATCCAATACTGCCCCGATCGCATCTTGCAGCGCCTATATATACAAATTAGCAATGAAGCATCCGGAATATTCAAGTAAATGCGCGCAAAGCGACGAGTGTTCGAGTGTAGATTTTCTAGAAACTTAGTTCTTCGGTTTGAGACTAGATGGCGCTGCCGATTGAAAGATTTGTGATGTCATGTCATTTTCTGCAAAGCTCCCCTCGCTCTCGTTCCTGACACTAGATGGCGCTAGTGTATGACGTTGACTTGAGCGCGTAACATTTATATAATCTTGCACACCATTTTGGACACAAAATCATTAACTGCAAACGGTTAGTATACATTTATACAAACCGTTTGCAGTTTGTTTGTACATATTATTTTTTATTTACGTTGTCATATGAAAATACGTAAAATTGAGTCATGCCATCCAAATGTTCTTATAGAGAGTGTGGTATTCACCTGTAATTTGTGGCACAGTTCACTTTAACATCGCGGTCTCAGATGCACAATGGATTCCCTTTACATTTAAAACGATGTAAGTATTTTGAAAATCCACCGTGCCTCGTCATGATTTCAGTAAACAGCTTTGTGGTTTTTGCTGTCACGGCAGTCACATATCTTTGATTTGATTTGTCAAACGTTGTCATACGAATACTTCGCTTGACGAATGAAACCGAGCAAAGATCGTAATCCGGTCTCACTTTGGAACTTTTGGCAGCCACTTTTGCTAGTCTATTTGCTCGCTCATTCCCCTCTAAGCCCGCGTGGGCAAATTCTAAATCAAAAAGAAAAACTCAAAAGAAATGTACTACTTTGTTTTGGCGAGATATTATCCTTAAATTATCTCTACATTCCACGGCTAACGGTTGAAGGTAGTTTGGGTTTTCAACCGTTTTCTGAAGGGCCTCCATGGAGTCAACGTAAATTCCAAAGGACTACGCTTTGTGCTTGAACATTTGCCTAGTCGCACTGCAAATAGCCTGGATTTCGGCTTGGTAAACTGTACAATATGTTGGTAGAGCAAGTTTGAGGGCTTTGATTTCGGTTTTGTTTTTCCATTCGAAAAGGGCGCCGTCTACCTTACCCTCAATCTTCCGTCACTAAATATGTAAAAGGTCACTGTATTTGTTCACCTGCTCTTCGTTAACCATACTGATAATTTCTAATTCCAGGCATTCGGCAGTGTATGGGCCCTCAACAGCTATTCTCTCGAACTCCTCTCCTCACGGGGGCCCAGGGGATTAGCCAGCCAGTACTAGCGCTGAATTTAGAGAGACCGTACTTGTAAGCCTTGAACAATTTCTGCGCAATACCGCGCACAACCAGCTTATTTGCAGCCTGTGCCCAGACGCTAGCAGCGTAGAGTATAATGGACGCTACGGTCGCGAGATATTACTTTTATCACTTCAGCATGAAGTCCCCAGCTAAACTTAGCAACTTTGCATAGTTGTTTGTAGACGGCAATTGACTCACATTGCTCTAGCTTCATATGAATGAACCGCATTAGTACATAGAGGGAGTCTTTGGTGCTCCTCTGTGGCATAAACCCGCACTGACGAATACTCATCCTAGGCAAAAGATGGAATGTGAGGCGGGCCACTTGTACTTTCTCAAATATCTTTCCCAGTATAGGTAGTAGTCCAATGGGCCCGTATGCTTTTGGAATAGTCTCGTCTACTTTTCCTAGTTTTTTTTAAGTATTACAACTGTAGCGATTTTCTAGGTTTCTAGAAGGTGTTGTAGCATTAGGCATTTATTGTGGAAGGTGAAGAGCAGCTCAGGATTGCTTTCAATAGCGTGTAGGCATATATATAGGCTGTAAAACCGCTCCTGGGGCCTTTTTTGGGTTGAAGGATCAATACGTCTGTTTCAGTTCTGACATTGTGAACAGAGGATCACACAGGTCGTCTAGCTCATCAGAATTCACTTTGTCAGCTTTTGTTCTTACGTGGCGATGGTAAGTTTTGTCGCTGTCTGATAGGTCTTCCGAAAAGAACGTTTCCGCTAATAACTTCACAGAACCTTTAGCGTCCAACACTACCTTATATAATCCTAGTGTCACATCCTCGTCCATACGCGTTGTTTTCCCAAGGGTGCATCTGCATTTTGATTCTCTATCGAAGATTAATGTAAGTGTCTGTGGACCACAGCGTTTACGTATGTACTTAATTTATTCGAAATATGCCCAAAGAGCAAGAGTTATACTTAAGTTTATTATTTATTCTGCTGACTTTACCATACCTACATATAAATAAATTGAAATGTCTGACTGTAATATCGCCTTACATTGCGATATTTCTAAGTTATAGCTGAGCTATTAGCATGTCTTTAAGATTAGTTTTTTTACGTTACGTTTATTACGTTTAAAAAACCGAAAAATTGATAAATTAAATGCTGTTTAATTATTTGAAATCTAAACAACATATATTTTTATATCGATTCTATCCAGGCAAAGCCGTGGCGGATCGTGTATTATAACCTACATAGCATAAATTCTGTATCAAATAAAAAAACTATATTGGATTATTAAGCATCTCTCAGCATCAATTTATCACCATTAATTTATAGGTCCTTACATTTGGCGTTTTGTCTGGGAGGAATATAAAGTCAATTTTTTTTTGTAAAATATATTTAATAAATCAAAGTATGCACCGTTGTTATCTATGCACTTTTGCCATCTCATAGGTAGTTCATTGACCCCTTTACTAAAAAAAACCATGGGGGCGAGAATCAATAAACTCTTTGAAGGTGGTTTGGACTGCTGCATCGGAGTTGAATTTTTTCTTTGTAAGAAGTTTAATTACATGTTTTCCATTATGCGGTAATAAGCGACGCCAAAGAAAAAAATAATGAGGGAAAAAAACAAATGAATGACAGTTTTCAAAACTCAAATATACCAGCTAAATGAATTTATAAATTTGAATTTGGAATTCTTAACCAAAGAGGATATATTTTAAATCAAAGTGGTCAGTACGACAAAACGCGAATTTCATATGTAAGGACACAATATTTATACTGCATCGTATGCTATTTGCGTGAACAATAATTATTACTTCAACTTTTTTGTAATAAGTATATTAAACATAAAGCTACACCTGAGTAGCCTACGCCTGAGTAGCCTGAGTAGCCTACACCTGAGTAGTAGAGTAGTGAGGTTCCAAAAGTACCGAATATCAAATTTCCATCTAATAACAAGATTAAAAGTTAATTAAAACAAAACTGTATAAACGGAGTAATTTTATATAAGTTTCATTATAGGTAATATGTCGTATAACTCCTGGAAATGATGTTATCACTACCAAGCTGTTTTTAAAGTAATTCAATTAATTATTTTGCTTACATCTATCCTCGATTAAGAATTATTTTGATTCAGATACGTTATCTTTCACCACTGGTAACTAAAATATAATTTGAGGTAAGTAAGTGATCTGAAAAACACTGTCTTATTAGTAGCCGAAACGTGGTCTACGACTGAGCCATAGACACAGTCCACCGATGGGATCAGGAAGGCTGGTGTTAACGAATGCAAGTTTTTCCTAGCACCATGGCTTTTGCGTTAACGTACTCGGAGAGGTCTGTTGCTCAGGTGAAGTTGGAGGCAGTGCAGGAAGGCGGACTTTGTGTTCCGGTGCGCTTTTGTAAAGAAAGTATAGGTGAAGGAGTAGTCTTCTCTCGAAACCTTAGTACAGCTGGCGCTGGTGACGTTCCCGTGGTCCAGCCGATATGTTACGAAGATGGAATACCATGGGGTTTATTTGAGCTTTGCAGTTAAGATCGACATAACCTGTCATTGCGCTCGCGCGAGGCGGGTAGTATTTAAGTTTATCATTCTACTTCCAAATTCTATTCTCATATTCTTTTGTAGTAGCTATGCGACTAGCTACGTTCTGACTGATGATGTCAATGTAAATTAATTTAATATTCTTATTTTATAATGTACAGCTTGGAGTAACAACCTGGAGAGGACATGCAAGAAATTAAAAGCTGTAGGAGGCACTGGAACTGGACCGTGTTTTGTGCATTACGTTTAACAGTGTACAAATAAACTGTACTGCACTGTAACCAAGACGATGATGATGATGATGATACATTCAATATCGGACCAGTCATAGTTGTTTCGATTTACAGCGATTTGACGAGTAAACGCAACCAGCATTTTGGTACTCATTCTGAGACGAAAAGCTATAAGTATCATGAATTTTAGGGTCTAAATAATTATAAACGTCTGGTTTAAATTTTTTTTAAAATGTTTTAATTATTTATTTATATATACTACTACACAAGATACAGAATCTACAGCTACTAAGATACAGAATCTTCCAGTAGACCCATAAAGGAAAATAATATGTTAAAAAGGCAAACTACATACCTAATTCTTATTTCTTATTGGAGACATTAAAACTGTTCTAACTATTGCAATTTTGAGGCATCAAGCCGCTAAACTTGTTTATTTGATAAAAAGAGAAAAAAATAACTTTTTTATTACTTAGCATTTTTTACAATATTTAAAATAGATGGCGCTGATAGTAAACTGTCTTAATATTCCACTACAAAAAGATGCTGATAAAGGTAGGTGGCCTTGGTACTTAATGCTTATGCAACTAATTCATAATATCGCATTCATAATGGACAGGTTGTATAAACAGTAAGAGTATATTCATACGCCTTCAGTGACAAGCGCCAGCATGCTGTACCGACACGTAATACGATACTTTGGTTGGGAGCCGTTTTTTTACCATCTGCGTCGCCGACTATTTGATTAGGGGAACTATGTTTTCTTAGTAAAACCAAAAATTAAGCTGTGTTAACCAATATTTTATTATTATCACCAAAAAAATTATTATTAATCAAAATCATACAAAACGGTAGCAGTCTGTAAATAATGACAAAAAATTTAACAAAAAATACTTATTTAAGAAAACCATTAATCCTTCTTCCTCAATCGCGCACTAGATATTTCTATAGCTTGAAGCCAGTGTTGGATTTCTTCGGGGCATTCTGGTTTTGCGTCTGCTCCAGGAATACCTTTAAAGAGTCTTTCTGAATCGACATCTAAAAGGTTTTGTCGAGACAATACAATAGCTCGCACAAATCCATCACTTGTTGTAATAAACTTTTGTTCAATAAAAAGCGTTTTGTCATCCCAGTACACCAGCTGCAAAACGATTTTATAATTTCACCGTGTTACACAAGTTAAACATAAAAAGAAAATTTTTACATTGGTTAATTAACCTAATAACTGCATGTGTTTCGTTTAAAAAAAATTATCACTATTAAATCTAATCAATAAGATATATCTCCTAGATATTGTCTCCAATTTAGAACTTTTAAAATTAAGAGGACTTTATAAATAAGAAATAAAGAAGATGTTTAAGGGCCTGAGTCAACTCTTTTTTTTATTTTTGTAATATAAAATTTTACCCCAAGTGCTTAAGGGGAAATATAACCTCAAATGGCTTAGCAAGATCCTCCGTTATGCCGAAAGTATTGCAGCATTAATTTTGAAATAAATATATGGTAAAGTTGAGGATTAATGTTAAGGTTTATGTTAGACGAAAACACGATTCCGTAAAATTTTCTCGGTAGAAAAAAAATCCGAAGTTACCTCCAAACTGAACAATAAACCGCTGTTATTCTTAAAATACTTTAAATAAGATCATGAAACTTTGCATACTAACTGAACTAACCATAAAGCAGTGCTTATGTTATTTACTTTTTTTTAAATATCATTATTTTCACTGTAAAAAAGAAATTACCTAAACTATCGGCGCGTAAGCACGGTTCCTGTTGATTATGATATTTTAAAAAAATATTATATACTGATATTTTAAAAAAAGTAAATAACATAAGCACTGCTTTATGGTTAGTTCAGTTAGTATGCAAAGTTTCATGATCTTATTTAAAGTATTTTATGAATAACAGCGGTTTATTGTTCAGTTTGGAGGTAACTTTGGATTTTTTTTTCTATCGAGAAAATTTTACGGAATCGTGTTTTCGTCTAACATAAACCTTAACATTAATCCTCAACTTTACCATATATTTGTTTCAAAATTAATGCTGCAATACTTTCGGCATAACGGAGGATCTTGCTAAGCCATTTGAGGTTATATGTCCCCTTAATTAAAAAGAAGTCCACAGATCCACACACTGCCGGTCCTGGATTCAAATCGGATCCATCATTGTACAAAATACAAATACTTGGTTGTCTGGTTTCGCTGTACTTTTTCCTTTGCTAGTTACTCACCGCCACGATATTCTAGCTAACCTACAATCTGTGGTAGGATCTTAAATGAACCTTTTATTTATTTGTGTTAGCATGTTAGTATTCTTTGGGCCACTATATATTCTATTATTAACTTCCCAGTGAGTGTTATTGTAATGGGTCCAATTTTGCAAATTGGAAATTTTAACATATCTCCACGTTTCAAGGTCTTTAGGGTCGAACAGTAGGCTTTTGAAGAGGATGTCCGTGTGTGCATATGTACGTATGTATGTATCTCGAGAACAAAGAGTTATGACATGGGACCAGTTTCATCATAATTTTGTAACTTAGACCTCATTAAATTTTGAGCAAAATCGGTCCAGTCGTTTTTTGTGCCGAATGAAAAATTGTATAAAATATTAAAATATATGATATTTTTTTATTCTTTTCAATGGGAAGTTAGTCGTGTGAACCTTTCGGTCGCGTCTAGACCGCTTTTATAATTTTGACTATGTAGTAAATTAAATTGTGAGACGTGGTAGCTCAGATGGTTAGCACTCGCTGTAAATTTCACAGTACGCTAGCAAACCGGGTTCGATCCCCGCCGGCACCAATGAAATTGTTAATTGCAATTTTAAGTGCTGATTTACCACGTGCTCGGCGGTGAAGGAAAACGTCGTGAGGAAACCTACATGTCTGAGGAATAAGAAAAAAATATATTTCGAAGACATGTGAAGTTCGCCAACACGCATTGGGGCAGCGCGGCGGACACTCCCTTGCCCTAAAACCCTCTCAGAAATGAGGGGAGGCCTGTGCCCAGCAGTGGGACGTATATAGGCTGTAACTTTAACTTTAACTTTAAGTAAATTAAAAGATAAATTACAATTTATACATAGTATATTATCTATAGTCTATACCTTTGTCTCTACTTTATATGCTGAAAATATTGGAATGGTTCTTCTGTAACGAATACTAGAAGCGCCTTGCAGTACATGTCCTTTTGCTGCTTTTATGTTAGCATAGATTCCTGTTCTATCATAGAAGTGAAACCTAGCGAAGTCGAGCTCTCGAACGTAACGAGCATTATTCATATGCTTCAAAAATATATCCACATCTTGTGTTGTGCAAAATCCTGAAATGATAAATATTTTGGCAATATTATATTAAAAACATCTACTTTTACGATTTTTTCGCGTTTTATTTATATTAATTTTAATACCCGACGTTTCACACATTTATTTTGCTGAGTTGCGGCAGAGTAACGAATACTATCACCTCGGTCGACCCATTCGTGGTTGCGTCACGAATGGGGCGGCTCGACTGCGGTAGCATCACTCTCACACAGAATACCAGCGTGGAACAGCAGATTGATGCTGCTGTATTTCGTATGGTGTGTGAAAAGAACAGGAGATCCTTTTTACTGGTTACGAAGCATTCTATCTTAGTCCTCAAGGGTGACAACGCGTCTGCATTTTGAATTTGGTAATAGAGAATAGTTATAGAAGCCTATGGGCCACAACATCCATTCAACTTTAGGCTCGTTTGTCACCCTTATTCTATAAAAAAGTTACAACAATAATATAGCTGCAGCTATATTATTGTTGTATGTGTGTATTGCCACATAAAAAAAAGTTGCTAAAATATTCAAAGCTGGAGCAGCGTTAGGTGTGAAACAGTTTGTCATTACGATTTTTACCTAGCCAGTAACGAAGAGAATTGAGCAAATTATTATTTATAAAATACATACTTAGTGACTAAAAACCTATCAACCGTTACCGTTACCGCTAGAGCCTATCAAGAGTTAACCGCTGAACATAGGTTTCTTCTATAGATTGCCTCGTAGGAGGAATACTTGCCTTTTGTTGATCGAAGCTTGCCTTAGTATTGACATGTCTAGCACAGTAGGCATGTCATCTGTGGCAGGGTAATCTCTTGGCTGGCGACCGCAATTTTTTTATTTTTAGTTATCATTAGGAAGGCGCTGCTGCCCATCTTCGGTTTGTTTCCCTCTGTTGGCTCCTTCGATCAACAATACCAACTAGATAACGGGTCACGTACAAAATCATAGCTAAATACTGTCCGCATGAATATAAGCTATGAAAAGACATAAATTAAATAACATTTAGTGTGAAATCAACCTTAAGTTATAACAAATAAAGTTCTTTTTCCCGTTACTGCCTTGCGAGATACACTCTCACGTGCAAGAGCTCACGTCTCATGTGCGCTCTTATTTACTGAGATGGATTTCTTGCGCCGACCCGACATCTAGTTGGTATTGTTGATCGATGGTTGGCTCTCACGACACCCGCGAAACGATATGGGGTGAAATTGTGAAAACACATACAAGCTCGAGCTATAAAACCTGCTGTTTCCAAACCTGTCATGCGGAGGAAGGGAAGCTATTGTGACGGCCCATTTTTATTATAAATAATTAGGTAATAATTAATTTTTCTACACAAAGCCGTCAAAAATTATCTTACAAAAGATATATTAAACAATAAAAATATATTAATAAGCATAAAAAATAAGCGTTAAAATAAATACATTTCTGACATTAAGTATTATAATAAATTTAAGGCTTAATGTTGTCTTTCAAAATCAATTAATTTATTTAAAAAAAAACTTTGTTAAAATATTCAAATATTGATAAATAATAGAAATACAAGTCGAAAAATATTATAATAATAAAGTTAAATAACATTTATAAAATAATTGGAAAATTGGTCAAAATTGCCTAAGTCATGTAGGCAGTTCGTGTATAAGAAAATTGTCTAATTGAGCGTGTTCATGTACATAAGAAAATTTCATAAGTCATGGAGGGTGTTAGCGTACGAGTATAAGAAAATTTCTTTCGAGCTTGTTCGCGTATAAAGAAATTTCTATGTCATGGTTGGTGTTCAAGTATAAGAAAATTTCTGATATGTAGGGTGTTCATGTATAGATTGCTTGTATGGGGGAGCTGTGGGAGACGCATACCCAAGGGTGTACATATATATGGGGAGATAGGGTGACCGACTGACTACTTACAGTACTGTTGCACAATGTATAGCCCTATATTAGGAACTTATGACAGTAAGGTCTATGATACTAAAGCATTATAATAGAAGGTCTCTATGATGTATAAGCATTACAATACTAGAGTTGTGGGATGAAGCCCCATATATTAAAGACTTATAATAGTAAGGTTTATGATACAAAAACATTATTATAGAAGGGCTCTTTGATACATAAGCATTATGATAGTAGAGTTGTGGGTTGAAGTCACATATATTAAAGACTTATGAGAGTAAGGTCTATGATACTATAATACATAATATAATGGCTGTCAACCTTATTTTATACGAGGATCGGCGTCGCCGGGAATACACATACAATTACGTCGCATTATCACTACTACGAACCCGATTCGCTGTGTTGACAGACTAAGTAAATTTACACATTTTAGACTTTTGATTAGTGTTTAAGATCATCATTAAAAAAATAGTTTAAATTTTAATACATATTTATTTGTAAATAGTGTGCAATTTGGCATTTTCTAAATAATTTTCATACGAAATTTGAAAACGATTGTAACGTCAAAACACATCTCGTGTTGACATTTATACGTGTGAATTGACGTGTTAGTGACATGTTAGTGGCTATACGGGCTCTGCCCACTCCCCCGTTCTATTATGTATGTATTATAATTACAGTCTGTAACTTCCTACTCTGTAGCCTTCTGTGTTTAAAGTTGGTTGTGAGTGTCCATGGTTGCGGTGGCCACTCCTCATTAGGTGGTTCAAACATGTATTTGTCAATTCAGTGTTATAAAAAAACGTGTCCACCGCGTGGCCACGTTGTTGGTTAGCAGTTGTATTGTTCCCATTTCTATAATATTAACTGCCTCCGACCATGTCGTACATTTTTTTACGTTGATTTTACGTTGTTTTTAGTTAACAACAATATAAATTTTGTTACTAAAGTCGATAGGAATCATGTGGGTGTGTTGTGAGAGAGCGCCATCCGTATGATAGTTGAATTGATGCTTACTGCTACTTGCGGTATTGCGTCTTGTGATAGATATGCGGGTGTGCTGCGCCTGATTCGACACATTCTTGTGGTTCTGATCGATTGAGGTATGCGGGTGGTGATGTCTGCTGTGATGTATGGGGGACCTTGGGATGGTGTAAGCCCGACGATAGTCCTAGTGCTTGTTGCGTTCTGCAGATGGTTATTTCGCAGGTCACTATTTTCACTTGGCACTCTCTGCATCTTGGTTTGACTCACACCTAAGTAGCTTTTGCCCAACCGTTGTATTGGTTAATGGAGCATACGTTTCCACCTCATGTGGGTGGTAGCTGGAGGGAGGATCTGTGGAGACTCTCAAGGCTGCGGCCGAAAGCTGCACAACGTGGAACCCCATTTCCTTGAGGTGAGCGGTAGACTCGTGACACGCTCTGCGGCTAGTAGGCGAGCTGATCATGCAATCGGTGGTGATACCATACACTTACATCACGTCTGCAGGAACGGCAGTCTGGCAGGTGGGGGCACTAATGGAGGGTTTATGGCCAGTGTGCCTATTGGCCTAAACCGCGTGACGTACATACACTGACTGGATTTGTTCGTGTTTTGTATGGCGTTAACATGCGCGACTTCGGTTGATGTATGTGCTTACGTTAAATTGTTGGCGCTCACCGCGCACGGCGTGTGTCTCCCCACATTTTTTTTAAATTTGGGAGAATGAAACCCTTGTATTGGGTATTTGATATATATATATATATATATATATATATAATCGGAATCTTGGAAACGGCTCCAACGATTTTCATAAAATTTAGTGTCCAGGGGGTTTCGGGGGTAATAAATCGAACTAGCTAGGATTCATTTTTAGAAAATGTCGTTTTATCCGTGTTTTCAGGCAATAAAAAACTGCTATTATAACAGTTTTTTATTGCCTTTTTTATCATTAGAATAAGAAGGTAAATTTTGACGGTGTTTTAATGATTATAAATAGCTCTATTGAGAAAACAGGCGGTTATCACGTCATAGAACCCCGGTTCGAGTCCTGTCTTCAGACCGACTTTTTTCATTTTTTTTCCAGTTCCCTTCTTTTTTGAGAAAATCTATTATTTCGAACCGTTTTTTAGATTTTTTTTAAAACACGAAAATTTAAATTAAATTAATTGCACTAACTATTTTTATTCAAATAACCAGTTCAGTTTTTTCTATTATGTCGCTAAGATCAAAAAATATTATTCGTATTTCATCAGTATGTAATTTGTATCTAATATGATTTCCAAAAAACACGAATAAAAATAAAAAATACCGAGCAAAGCTCGGTCAACCAGGTACTATATATATAAAAGTCGTCCATCCCACTAATATTTTTCGGTGCGTTCTTTAAAATTTACCCCGTAGTTATAGTGGCGCCACCCTTATTTATCGGCTTTCTATGGACACTTTTTTACAAACAACATTACTCCAGTCTATATTACGTAATTCTTAATTCAGACGACTTTATTTAAATCGTATTAATGTAACAGGATCAGTCTGTATATGCCGGAGCGACGCATGCAATAGCAGTCATTAGATGGTCCGCCGGTTCAGTACCCAACGTCGCTCTGTACAGGCGTAAGTACAGGCCATGTTTACGACACCGCACAAAAATACAGCAAAAAAATACTAGTATAATCGGATGTCCTAAAAGATAGGCCATACTCGCTCATTAGGCCTACATATTGTGATATTGTTTGATTATCGTTTTAAGGTTTAGATTTATGTCATCTATAATCAGAAAACTATCACTGTGCGCATATTTATTTAATAAGTGTTTCAGCTCTGAAACAAATAGGGTTTTAGTTTTGTCTGGCGGTTGGTACAATTACTTTGTCCTTCGCCCTTGAGCCTGTAACCCTGCGAAGTGACAAGGTCAAAGATGCCTAATAAAATTGTTTTATTGCTGTTCGTAAATTAGGTTGGATATGATTTGAATATTATTTCGATAGATTTTCATTAATTAATTTATATAATTCAAAATTTTTGTTTTTATTTTTTGGAAAATATCAATGCCATAGGCTTTTACTCCGTTCACATTGTTCACCCTAATTTTTTTTTCAGACGGTAAAAAGGGTCATCAAGTATATACGTGGAAAATGTAGATCCGTTATTTATTCTTAGTCATTATTTTCACGTAGTGTGCACTTCGCCTATAATTATATAAGTTTCGGATATTTTCTGAATACCTTATACAAAACTAATTTCCCGTTACAAAAGTACCCGTTCGATTATAAACAACCGTGGCAGGTTGACACGATACACAGACTAAGTTTTAAACATATGATAATGCTGAAAACTGCGAAGTGAGGATTGCTTAGGCACTCAACAAAAAATTATTAATTGCTATAGGATTTTTGTACAATTTTATTATGAATAAAGTTATATATGCAAGCACAAGTGATAGGTTAGAACTACCTAAGGTATAATATATATATATATATATATATATATATATATATATATATATATATATAAATAATAAAATAAGGTCGGAGAAGTATTGCTTTAAAATTTTATTACTTACAGGTAATTATATAAATTTGTCTTACTTAGATTATTAGAGTTTGAAACCATTATTGTACCTCATTCGAATAATAATATTAATTACAAAAACCTTATACAGTCATCATACAAACTATGCCAAAACAAAATGAACTAAAATTTGATATACTAAAATTGGATGTACCTACTAAAATTTGATTTTCATAAAATAAAGCTACTCACACTTACCATAAATTGTTGTAGTGTCATTGATTCCACACTTCTTTTGATACAACCTGCCCATTAGGATTGTAAAGGCAACTCTTAAAAAATAGTTGACATCCCAGAATATATATGCTAACGCAACTATTGACGCTATTAAACAAAACATTTTAATAAAATATGTGTTAAATTTAACTTCACCAGTCTCCCATCAAGTAAGTAAGCTGGTATTCAACTGACTGCTGTAGTGATAGGTAGCGTAAACGATGAACTTGATCGACGAGTCATTGAACTTATTAACTGCATGAAGTTAGTCAAGAACAACCGCATTAAAACACATGTTGATACTCACTTCATAGTAACCGCTTTAAAGTAGATTAAAAAATATCGTCGTAACAATCAATTATTAGAATTTCATTATACTTAGATACTATAAAATGAAGGGCAAAAGTTCTTGTATGTTAAATGTATACAAATAGATATTTATTAGGTACTACGATTTAGTTTTTTATTATGACCACACGGGTGGCAGCGTAATAAGATGCATAATCTTATACGTGTAATAATACTTTTTGTACGTGATATAAATTAACAATTACAAAGAACATTAAATTGTGCGTCGTTGTACATCGTGGTCAGTGGTGACGGGCCGTGTGGTGGCGGTATAAGAATATCCACTGCCCCATATCTTCCTGTGGGTTTCGTAAGAGGCGACAGACGCAAAATGAACCAGAAGATGGGCAGCAGCATCATTCTGATAACAACGCAAATAATAATATGAGGCAAACTATAGGAGAGGCCTGTGTTCAGCAGTGGACTGTTATAGGTTGTAACGGTGATGGGGAAAGTCTTGCAGAAACCTACATGCCTGAGTAAATGAAAATATTTCGTAGGTAGGTATACAGAAATAAGAGATTTACTGTCGTCAGCAAAAGAACATCGGTGGAATGTTTCTATAAACACATTAGCAACGTAAGCTGCATTTACCTATTACCATTATTACAAAGTAGTTATTATTGCGTGGTACAAAATTCTGCCACAAAATTAGTTTGGAGAATGATGATGATAATAACGAAACTCGAAATTTATCAGGCCATCTGCATGCGTGCGCCGAGCTGCGGTGGTGATATTTAAAAAAAGTATAACTATGTAATGAAATTCGACCAACATTTTTCCTATAAGTAATATATGCTTCTCCTACAACCTAAACATACGAGTAGGTATATATAAATTTTCATTATTCCGCCTTACAAACTACAATATATTATTAACAGAATTAAGTACTATTATTAAGTATCACGATATATTAAAAACGAGCCAAATTTAGAGTACCCTTAATCGACGAGCGTGTGTGCGTAGGTGTATGGATGGAGGAGGAGAGAGGTGTGTCAGGATCGTGCCAAATGAAAGTCCATAGTCACTACCTATCCTTCTGGGTGGCGTGTTTGTGTAATGTTGTTGTTTTGTTGAGTAATTTGTGATTATTATTGCTGTATTCTTAATGTTAATGGTTTTTTATTCTTTTACGTCCACCAATATATTTCACTATGCACGGGCTGTGTAGTGGCTGTATAAGATTATCCACTACCCCATACCATCTCGTAGTTGTCGTAAGGGGCGACAGCTACAAACTTATTTAGGTTCGTGATTTTTCAAACGTCCGCTGATTCAGCGCTTCTTAAATCTTATTTTAATTTTGCCGTGATCCACTTTGGAACCGGTTCCATTCGGCCTTCGTACCGCGCAGGTATCTGTCAGTGCAATTTGCCTTTCACAAAACTCCACAGCGACCCACTCTCGACGGGAAGAGTTTGTAGGAGTCTGAGTTCGTGAAGGGTCGCTCCCTCTTCTCTTTCTTATGCCTCAACAACCCGTCGCTGCCCGAGCCAGTATCAGCCAGTATGCCGTTAGCCGTACAATGTGTTGTATGTGTCTAGCCGCAGACTCCTCACCGCAAAGTATCGCGCGAAACAAATCAGGAGATGTCCAGCAGGGTCTCCCCAATATAGACTAAAAATAAAAAAAACTGCGGTTGTCAACCCGCTTGCCAAGCGTGGCAACTAATGAAAATATCCCCCCTATGAGGAAATCTATGGGGGATGCCTATGTTCAGCAGTGCACGGGGTTGACTGGAAGAAAGCCTTAAAAAGGAAGATAGCAATGAAGCATAAGTAATCAAATAAATATTTGTGTTTCTAGATGGTTTCTAGCCAAATAATTTTAGCATGTAACAACATTCTAAATATTTAAGCGCATTATTTCTCAAACGTAAATAGTATTTACACGTGTGTTTTCAATTCTTTGAAACACCATTTCAAAATATATAAAACATTGTTTTATTTTACATTTATCTGAAAAATTATATTTACAAATGGAAAAATGTGTTCATTGAGGAAATTATGCGAATTTTGTTGTTTACATTTTACTCTTTTTATTTGAAGAATAACTTTTCATCATGTTGTCATCAGCCCATGGTTTCAATCGCCGTAGCTGACGTTTAGCATAAACAAGTTGGTTATTAATTATTATATCTTAAATAAATTTGAAACCATGATATTTTTATTCATATTGATAAAATAATGTTGGATTTCATGGTCTTCCACGATGGAATAAGGCTTTGTGGCCTTTCCACAACGGAAACAGCCCTTCCAGCAGTACCTGGATTTTTACGGGCTCAGCACGAAGTGGCACGAAGTTGTTGCGATTTTCATTCAGAGAAAATTTTCTTAAATTATTTGGTAAAACTTAACCCAATAAAAAATAAGTGGAAATAGTTGTTTTTATTTTTATTTGACTCGTCCTAAAACAGATAACTTTATTTTGAAATATAAATGTAATAATATGTAAGCATTTAAAATTGTTTTAAATCAATCGTTTGACTAAAATATTTCAGTCTAAAAGAAATCTAGAATTTCCATTCCATTCATTATATTCTCATATTAAAAAAAAATTCTCATAATAAAAAATTATAATGTTTCATAATTTAGCCCAATGTTTAATAATTAGGCATTTATCCTTAATTTATTACTGGTTATTTGCATGCTGTGCAACCAATTTTTTATATACAAAGGACATGTGGGCTTCTTCTGCGATCCAGGTAATCCTTTCAAAAGAACGTCAATCGTCGGTCCTCCTTCTTTCCCAATTGCATATTGACGTGACACTAGCAGCGAGCGCACTTTGTTGTCACTGAGCGTCACCACTTCGTGTTCCAAAAATAGCGATCGATCATCCCAATACACCAACTGCAAATAAAATAAAGGTCATACTCAGAAAAGATGTACATTTGTTATCTTTTCTTGTCCCGCGAACTCATACTTTAATAAATATCTAATTTTATAAATATGATAAAAAACAATTCCCCTTGTTGTTATATTACTCTATTAATGTGAAGAATTTTTTGGTATTTCAACTTTAATTTTTAGTAAAGGAATACATTTTTGAGATCATTCTTTTTGTAAAAATGCTAACGAACATTTTGTTAGCGTCCTAGTGACCATTTTACTTTTCAGAGTCAAGTTGTTACGAATATGCTTTATTATATTAAGCTTACATATTCTATTAAGCTTTATTTAACATGGCCATAGCCATGTCAAAGAATATATTCACTACGCGAAAAGAAACGACACTTAAGCATGTGTGCACGTAAAATCGCTTGCGGCTATATGTGGGTGTCTAGATGTGTGCGGGGGCCTTGAGAAGCGCGCGAGGCGTGGAACGGGCAGTCGCCGACTGCCCTGGCCGAGGGCTAGTTGTAATACCGATATTTATCAGTATTAGTTAATATCACTTGACGAATATATTATATTCGTCAAGTGATATTATAATATTTCTATTAATATATGAATATTACTGATATCTTAATGTACATATTACTATTCTGTTCATGTAGGTATTAAGTTTATGTTACCAAGTAACGTTATTAGTTTTTATAGCCGGTTTATATGCTTTGATAAATATTAATGTTGTTATTAAATAAATGATATTATAGTATATGTATAAGTATTACTGAAAGTGATTTTAAGTGATAAAAATTAAAATAAATTCCACTGCACAAAACAAGGGCCCTTGTTTTGTTAGTTTAATTTTTAATAATGTTTTATGATACCTAAAAATATGTGAACTCATTTTAATGAAAGTCGATATGATCTTAACAAGAATTATAAGGAAATACCATGACAATAAAACTAATAAATCGCCAATAATTTTATTATATTACATTAACTGAAATATACACTATTAAAAATACCACTAGAGAGTCGAGAAATTTTAGATATCTATAAAGAGTTTTTGTATTTGTTCATTGTTGTATTTATGGATTATTTCATTAGAAATAAAAATGACTTATCTCCTCAACACATAGGGAACAATTTGTTGGCCGCCATGTCCCAGGAAACCTGCATACCTTTGGATTTTATAAAAAATATACATGCTACGAATTTTTGCAATTGTTAGAAATAATAATAAAAATTAAAAAATTAATCGAAAAATTCAAAAATATATAAGAGTAAATTATTTTTAAAGAATAGTAGGTAATACTGATTATTGTGTACTGAAATACTAAGTGTTGGTTAATTATTTAAGATTACCATTAACTGTCGTGCATATTTGGTTTTGTCGGAAGTTTTAATGTTCCTCATTTAATAAAAGTTGATTTCAAATTGAACGTATCTTTCACTACCCAAATACATAAGTTTACATAATATATAACATATACCTTCTATGTATCTTCTTTGGTATAAGTCTATAATATTCCATTTCGGTTCGATATCAACCCTAGCGTTACACGCTCCGACTCAAGGTCACCGGCGCTTAAGCTCTCACGTACAGGGAGTGTCACCGCTGTGGCCATGTTAAATAAAGCTTAATAAGCTTTATTTAACATGGCTATGGCCATATTACTCTTGCTGAATCAAGCAATCAAACTCGACCTAATTCATTCGTAAGTCATTTAAAAATAATTTATTTTAATTAAATTATCTAATGTCCCAAAATTATAACGTTGCGTTACTCAGGTTTCGTAACGTGTACTAAAATTAAGAACGCATTTGTTTAAAATAGTAGAAATATGTTTTTCTATTCCATCAACACTAGTAACTACGTCAAAATTTTTGCCGCCGCGGCCATTGTGTTTTAGTCGCAACCGAGGACTCAATTTGTTATCACGTGAATATTCACTAAAACTATCTCAGGGTGATAAACAGCTATTATTTTGGAAAGTTTATTATAATTTTTGTTTACTAATTAAATCCTTTTATTATTTTTTGTAATATCATAACGAATACACTCGGTGTTCGTTTGTGCAACACTTGGTTTACGTAAAAATAGTTTTGGAGGTTCCAATTTCTCAGATTTTATTCTCAATTTCGTTATATTGCGTAACGTTACGAAACTGAGAAATTGTTAAGCTTAGTTCACAAAAACAATTAAGTATGTAATTACTTACTACTACTTAAATAACGTTTAATATGTCGTTATACCTTTAAAAGAGCAATTATGTATATATATATATATATATATATATATATATATATATATATATATATATATATATATATATATATATATATATATATACAATAATTGCTCGTTTATAATATATATATCGGAATCTCGGAAACGGTTCCAACGATTTTCATAAAATTTTGTGTGCAGGGAGTTTCGGGGGTAATAAATCGATCTAGCTAGGATTTATTTTTAGAAAATGTCTTTTTGTCCGTGTTTTTAGGCAATGAAAAACTGCTACAATATCGTTAGAATAAGAGGGTAAATTTTGACAGTTTATTAATGATTACAAATAGCTTAATTGCTATATTGGGCAGTCACAAAATCGTAATACCATGGTTCGAGCCCAGACCGACTGACTGACTTTTTTTTCAAGTTCCTTTCTTTTTTTAGAAAATCTATTTTTTCGAGTCCTTTTAAAAACACGAGTATTTTTTAAAAACACGAAAATTTAAATTAAACTAATTGCACTCATGATTTTTTATTCAAATAACCAGTTCAGTTTTTTCTATTATGTCGCTAAGATCAAAAAATATTATTCGTATTTCATCAGTATGTGATTTGTATCCAAATATAATTTCCAAAACACACGAATTAAAAAAAACCGAGCGAAAAATACCGAGCAAAGCTCGGTCAACCGGGTACTGTCGTTATAATACGTCGTTGTGGTGCTTACTCTTTTCTAGTAGTTCGTTGTTTTATTTGCAGTAAAGAATAAAAAACTTTTTTCTTTACTGCAAATAAAACAACGAAGTCAATAAAATTAATTTAATTAATAAATAAGTAAAACTAGTCTAATTTGTATTTATTTCAACAAGAGTTGTATTTTTCAAAAAAAGGAAAGAAGAAGAAAGAAGATTATGATAGAAAAATTAAAGGAAGAAAGAAGATTATGATAGAAAAAAAAGTGTTGAAATGGAGCTAAAAAGAACATCTAATATTCAGGATATTCAGAAACAAGAATTGACGTCTGACAGATATAAAAAAGTAACAAGAGAAAAGGAGAATAAATCACCAAAGATAGGTAAAAAGAGTACTTTTGATTGCGAATCTTCTGACACTGATGAAGAAGTCGTTTATGCTGAAAGTGACAATAGTCCCTATATTAATGAAGAAAGTAACTATCTATCATCAGACATTACAACAAAACCCAAAAATAAATATGGATATTGCATCCAGACAATCAACGATACTTTAATTTTGCTTCACCAGGAGTCTCGTCAGTGCATAAGATTGATCCTACCCATAAAGTAAAGTAAAAGTAAAGTTACAGCCTATATACGTCCCGTTGCTGGGCACAGGCCTCCCTTCACTTCTGAGAGGGTTTAGGGCAATGAAGCGTCTGCCGCACTGCCCCAATGCGTGTTGGCGAACTTCACATGTCTTCGAAATAAGTTTTTCCTACCCATGATAATATATATTTATTTAAAAATAATAATCATAATGCGAGTGACAATAACTCAAATTTTGTTATCTTTTAATAAATTATTAGACTTCATTTTAATCTCGTAAACATTCCTCTGACATCACGTTTTTTTATACCGAGGTATTACTGTGTGAAAAAATTTATATATGTTAACATTCCATTTATTCCTAGTTTTATATCTAATTCACCGATGTAAATTTTTTAGAAAATTATAATCTTGGTTGATCTAAATATTATTTCAATTAATACAAATAGGTTGGAGGATAAGTCGCTCGCGTCCGTAGGCTATGACCACCTATTCCTAGGCCCACCCTACACGTGTCCCCCAGGTGGTGCTAAATGAGCGACAAGCCGATACCACAGACTCGGCTCCACGCCGTGGTAGCGGCGTAAAACATACTACCTAATATTTTCGCACCATGAGGAACTATATAAAAGAAATGGCCCCGAGTTCCTGGCGCCCCTTTAATGGGGCAGGGGTGCGAAGAATCTTCGGGAGGAAAACCGGCGACGTGGTTCGCCACCCATCACGTTCTGTCTCCCGGAGAGGCGAAAACTGGATTGCAGAGGCCCGTCTGGCTACGTTGAATGTATGTGGGGTAATGAATGATAAAATGGATGAAGTATGCGATATGATGTATGATAGAGGAATAGATGTGTTATGTGTAAATGAGACGAAACGGAAGGGAAAGGATGTCACTACACATGGCATATATACCGCGTACTGGTCTGGTGTAGACGAGACCGAGCGGGCATGCCAGGGAGTCGGTATCATCCTTTCAGAAAGAATGGGCCAATGTGTGAAAGAGTATGAATGTGTAAGCCCAAGACCGCTATGGATACGAATGAAAGTGGGCTTAAAGAAGTTGTTTGTGTTAGGGGTCTACGCCCCAGACATGTCTAAGCCCACTTATATCCGAGAGCAGTTTTGGGAAATGGTAAGGATGGTGTTAATGAAGTGTAAGGGAAATGGAAATATTATTATGCTAGGAGATTTTAATGGAAGGGTTGGGGTGAGGAGGCTTGGTTATGAAAGGATATTGGGAACGTTTGGTGATGAAAGTATAAATGAGAATGGTGAAAGTCTCCTCACCGTATGTATGGAAAAGAATTTTTTTGTAACGAACACTTGCTTTGGCCACAAGACGATTCACATGTATACTTGGGAAGGAGGTGACGATAGAAGCATGATAGATTTCATAAATGTGGATGAAAGATTGAGGGGCGCAGTGGTAGATACAAGGGTTTACCGGGGTTCTAACGTAGGAACGGATCATTATTTGGTTTTATGCCGAATTAATGGTCTATTCAGGCGTTGGCGCCATTGATCATCTGTGTCTACCACTGCGTTACAGCGTATTAGAACAGAAAGGTTACAAGATGAAGGTGAGAAAAACAAGTTCAAATGTAGACTGAAAGAAAATATAAGTGGTTTGGATGAATTATGTATGAAGGAGTTAGACTTGGAGAATGTATGGCAAAATGTAAAGAAAGGTTTAGTGGATGCAGCTACCGAAGTATATGGTGTTAGTAAGAGGTAGAATGAAAGGAAAAATAATACGTTATGGTGGGATGATGAGATACGTATGGAAGTTGAAGCAAAGAAGAGAGCACGGCTAGATTTACTAGCAACAAAGACTGGTAATTCTAGCGGTACGAATATGATATTGAAAGAAAAAAGGCAGTCTTTAAACATCTTAATAAGAGAGTAAAAGAAGTAGTTGAAAGAAAAAAGCAAGAAAGAACGGATAAGAATGATAAAAGAATATCGGATAACTTCCAGGCAAATATTAAAATGTTCTGGAAACTTGTAAGAACTGCCAGGGGACATTCAAAACAGCCTATGATGAATGTTATAAGAGACGAGAATGGCTATATTCTGAAAGATGAAGTTTTGAGTTTAAAGAGATGGAAGGAATATTTTGAAAGCGTGTTTATGAGTGAGGAGACAAAGTGTGTACTAAGTGAAGTAGAAACTCCGAAAGAAGAGGAAAGAGGTAGCAAGATAAGTATAGATGAAATAATGAAAGCAATGAAAAGCATAAAAGCAGGTAAGGCTGCTGGACATGATAGAATTTCACTCGAAATGCTAAGGGCTGGAGAGGAAGTCGTGGCAGGCCTGCTGCACACCTTGTTTAATTTATGTTGGGAACTGAAGCGGGTACCGGTAGACTGGTGCAAAGCCATGATAGTCCCAGTATATAAAGGAAAAGGGTCGCAACAGGACTGTAAAAACTACCATGGCATCAGCCCTCTTAGCATTGTGGGAAAAATGTATGCTAAGGTACTGATTGAAAGGGTCATGGAAGAAACCGATGGAAAAATTTGGGATGTGCAAGCGGGATTCAGAAAGGGAATGGGATATACAGATCAAGTCTTTTCCATGCGCATGATCGCAGAGAAGTTTTTGGCCAAAAACCAAAAGGTTTTTTGTGCGTTCATGGACTTGGAAAAGGCCTATGACAGAGTGGATAGCAAGCATGTGCTATGGCAAACACTGAACTCATTTGGGTTGAGCGCTGGCTTGATACAGGCATTGGAGTCTCTTTATAGGGACTCTAGTGCTTGTGTTAGGATCAACGGGGTCTACTCGGACTGGTTTGACATCCATAAAGGTGTCAGACAGGGCTGTGTGGCTTCCCCGTGGCTGTTCAACCTATTTATGGACAGTTGTTTGCTAAATTTGAAAGTTGAAGAATGCGGATTAAGAATGGGTGAGTTAACCGTCAAATGCCTTTTGTACGCCGGTGATCAAGTTATCTTTGCTTCGTCGGCGGCCGAGTTGCAAATGATGGTTACATTAATGAACAGATCATTAAAAGAAAGGGGTATGAAAGTGAACGCAAGTAAGACGAAGGTTATGGTTTTTGAAAGAGTAGAAAGTAAAACGATTTGTGAAATAAGAATAGAAGGGGAGTTGATCGAGCAAGTAGATGAGTTTGTATATTTGGGCTGCGTATTTAGCAGGGATGGGAGATATAATAAGGATATAGAACGACGAGTGAATGCGGGAAATAGAGTAAATGGGGCCCTGCACTCTATTGTGAAGAGTCAAAATGTGTCAAAAAAGGCACGTATGGCAATTCACAATGCTGTGTTGGTCCCTACTTTAACGTATGGTAGTGAAAGTTGGGTGTAGCAGAAGCACGAGAGTAGAATCAACGCAGTAGAAATGCGGTCCTTAAGGAGTATGTTAGGGCTGAATCTGAACGACAGGCTAAGAAATTGTGTAATAAGAGAAGAGTGTGGTTTGCAAGATGATGTTGTGACCAGGATTAAGAAAGGAATGCTTCGGTGGTTTGGTCATGTGGAAAGAATGAACGAGGAAAGAGTGACAAAGAAAATTTATGTTGCAGAAGTGAATGGCAGAGTCGGAAAGGGACGTCCTAGGCGAAAATTTATCGACCAAATTGGCGATTTATTGAAAACGGGCCAAATTAGGAGTACCCTTAACCGACGAGCATGTGTATGGATGTGAAGGAGGCGAGAGAGGTTGTCAGGATCGTGCCAAATGGAAGTCTGTAGTCTCTGCCCACCCCTCTGGGTGACAGGCGTGAGTGTTTATGTATTTATGTATGTACAAATAGGTTATAGGACCAATTAAACCAAAGAAGTATTTTATTAGCTCAATCTCTCAAAAATAATTTATACTTAGTTCAATGTGTACTATACCTTATGAGATTACCTTATGAGATTGACCTTATGAGATTAGTTTCGTTACGAATATTCTCAGTATCGTTACATATCAGTTTAGTTACAAAATTTGAAATGTACACTTTTTTTGAGTATGACCCTACTATGACTTTATCGGAAAATATAATATTTCAGGTTTAATCCTATCCAATACCACAATAGGGCGAAAGGTTTTATGTGTTATATATATGTTTATGTGTAAAAGGATTATGTGTGAATTGAAAACGAACTAAAAGCCATATTAGGGTTACAGAGACTTAATTGACCTTTCTGTACATAATTATAGTTCGAATGCTACCAGCTCCAATGAAATGCAATTTCAAGTGCCGATTGGTTTACTATTGTAACGCGCCATAATTAATGTTTGGTACATGGCGAGTTATTATTAGCGCCATCTAGTATCAAGTAGTAGAAATAGGAGCGTCAAGATATTTCTTGAAAATTCACTAGCGCCATCTAGTATCGAGTTGCAGAACTAGGAGAGCTTTCTAGAAAATTCCTTGCTAGAACTTTCGCCATTCTACTCGAACATTCTAGATGTTTTCAGTACAAAAGGCTCCTATATAAGACTGTTATTGACCGCGACCGACAATTCAAGCGAAGATTTCGGAGCAAAATAAAGTGAACCAAAGTGTTAAGTGTAATTAATTATTAGTGGGTTTTAAGTTTTAATTGGTGTTCGGTAATTAAAGTGTCAATTTTGGTAATTCAATCGGCAGTTTTTATTGTCACGAACCCTAAGCTCGTAACACTATATTTAATTTTTTTTTTTTAAAAAGTTTTGCGTGCTCAGTAGAGCGGGACAGTATTTCATCCCGGCACACCGTTTCCAACTTTACAAAGCGCAGGTTCGGACCCACATGGGATAATGTTCTCATCTCTGGGCCGGGGCTCCTCAATGCCAGATCCTTACACTTGATCGCATTCAGCGCAGAGTAGCTCGAATCGTTGACGACCGAGTTCTTTCCGATCGACTCGACTCACTGGCACTGCGAAAAGATGTTGCATCCCTTTGCATTTTCTATCGTATTTTCCACGAGGAGTGCTCTGATAAATTGTTTGGATTAATTCTAGCCGCCAAATTTCATTAACGCACATCGCGAAATAACTTACGTTACTAACCACATCATTTGGATGCTTGGCGGTTCACTATTTAGCGATTTACTGGGAGTTTTCTTCCTCGCACGACTACTTTGTGGTATCGTTTACCACTGGCGATTTTTCCGAACCGATACGACTTACGGACCTTCAAGAAACGAGCTCACTCCTTTTTAATAGACCGGCAACGCTTTTGCAATTCCACCGGTGTTGCAGTTGTTCATGGGCGGCGGTCGACATTTTCCATTAGGTGAGCCGCATGCTTGTTTGCCCCCTCTGCTATAAAAGGAGAAGGCCAATGTCCAACAGCAGACTGTAATATAACAACAAGAGAATTTAGGTAACTTGTTTATGATATGATTTTAGTGTCTTATGGTTAAAGTTATTTATGTTCAAATGATATATACATTTCACTTAATGTGTACTTACAATATTCAAGTTAATAATAAGTTATAAGCCTAGAGAATGAAAAAATACATTACAAAATTGTCAGTCTTTAGAATTAGTACCTATTTTAGAGTTCGTTGTTTAGAACATACATAGTTCAGTAAGGTGGGTAGTAAACGAAATACTTCTTATCTTTACCGATTATCGCTGATCGTCATATAGGTAGGATCGGATTTAGAAGTTATTTATGTTATATATTATAGTTTATTATTATATTATAGTTTATTATTATGTGTTGTTTTAGCTTACTTTTAAAGATGTTAAAACTTTTTAATATTTTAATTTCTTGGAGTAGTCATTACATATTTTAACTTCAAAAAAATCGTTTTAGTGTCTTAGCTAAAAACAACAACTGTAATTAGTGAAAACATACCTTAGTATTAATTTTGTACAATGCAAACAATGGAATTGGCGCTGATGTAATTGTAAGAGTAGAACCTTGAAGTGAATCGAAGTTTAGCAGTTGACTACGTAGGTATACGCCAGTCTGGTCATAGAAATGGTAACGTGCAAAATCCAGTTCGCGAAGCAGTCTCGCTAAACGTAAACTTTTAAAGAAAATGTCACAATCCTGTAATGTACAAAGACCTATAACAATAGAAAGCATAGTTGTAGTTGGTACTCAGCGTTAACATACCCGTAATCTATTTATGAACGTTTTAAAAAGAAATTATTATGGGAGAAACGTTTAACTTTGCTATGTTTACAGAATAGCTGCAATCGCTTACCCCGTTACTCAGTGCAAATGAGTTTAATATCATCTTATCTATGTTAATTACTAAAAGAAAGTTAAGTTTAGTACGAAGGGAAGGAAGTTAAGTTTAGTAAGAAGGTTAAGTTTAGTATGAAGTTTATTACGTGGTAGAGCCATGCTGCAGTTATATTAGTAGTATAGTTGTAGCACGAATGGGTCGGCTCGACCGGAGAAGAACCACGCTCTCACAGAATACCAGCGTTAAATAGTAGCTTAATGCTGCTGGGTTTCATATGGTGAGTGTAGAGAACCGGAGACCCTTTTTACTGGAAACGAGGCATTCCTCCTAAGTCCTCACGGATGACAACGCATCTGCATTTTGATTTGTAATCGAGGATAGATGTAGATGTCTATGGGCCACAGCAACCACTTACCATCAGGTGGACTGTGTGCTCGTTTGTCATCCTATCCTATAAAAAAAAGTTACAGTCTATATATGTCCTCGTTTTACCGTCCCATCAGATTATGAGAGTGAGAGAATAGAGAGTGCACCTGTGCTTGCGCATACACTTGGGCACTATAATCCTGTCCTGCGCCGATGGCTAGTCTCCGTTAAGGCAGGCCGCCGTGACCGAAATTCGGTCGGGAGGACATTATATATGTCCTACTACCGGGCATAGCCGTCGTAACATTTCTGAAATGGTTTTGGATCAACAATTAGTCCACTGTGCTTTTCAGTGAGTGATGGTGGTACTTCACGTGTCATCAAAATATTTTATTCTTCGGACATTCCTTACGATGTTTCCTTCACCACCAAGCATGTGATAAAATTGCAATCAGCAATTTCATTGGTTCTCATTCTTCCCCTACAAGATACTACATCAATGTGATAAGATTAAAAAGAAGAAGATAAAAAAAACATCTGAAGCAATTGCAAAGAGCAATAGCATTATAGCATATTTAGGCTAAATTTTTCAGTCAAGATTTTGACCAATGTACAGAGTCATATTTTAAATTATAGATTTTCTATCCTCTTTATTTGTCCTATATCAGAATATTATTTAATGACTGACATAAAACTCTTGACAAAAACATTTATTATGTTCATAAGTTGACGCTTACCCTTCATATCAAAATTACAGAACCGAAGCTTTCAAACACAGATCGTTCAAATCTATAACGCACGAGTTGTCAATTTTTCTTCAACAGTTTTAGGTTTTTTCTTTATCGAAGTTAGGATGGCAAACGTGCAAAATGCCACATAATGCGGCATGCCAACTCAATGCAACTTTATTTTTGTAGAAGATGGGGCAAACGTGCATGTGGCTTATCTGATGGTAAGTGATGGCCATGCCTACAAACATCAGCAATATAAAAATTGCAAGTACGTTGTTGGCCTTTAGGAAAGGAGTAAACTCTTTATTTAAAGGTCTCAAAGTCGTATCCAGTCCGGAAAAAAAACGCTATGATAGCATAGTCAACATAGTAGTCGTACGTGAGAGAAAACATCGTACGGTGGTGGACTGCATTTTCGGGCAAACTGCGTTTAGAAATTAATCCCTCCAATTGCTCGGAGCACTCTAGTCCAGTCAAATTAGACATGCAAGATTACAAACTCGCATACAATTGAAAATTGGTACAAACGTTCGGAACACTATTATGGTCGCCCATGGTCGCCACACACGGTCAGTTCATCTGATCAATCTATCTGATCAATTCAAACTAAAACTTGATATTTTTTTAAATATCGGATTTTCGATATATCGATATTTATTTCGAATTTATCAATATTGGAGTTTTATATATAAGTTTCTTTATTGATATATCGAAAATCCGATATTTTAAAAAACATCAACAGCTTTAGTTTGAACTGATCTGACTTAACCACATGTGTGGCGTTCATTATAAATTAAATGTAAGAAGTCCCCATCGATACCACCCTTGCAAAAAAATTATTCAAAGTCAAATTTCGCAAAAATGGGTGCATTTTTATGTGATTGTATGCGATTTTTTGTAACCTTACTACTATTTTATGCTCCGATTTAACCGCACTACGTGGTAACAATATGTTAAGATGCTCTATTGGTAGCAAAGTGACAAGATTGTTGCTTTACGCTCTGAAAATAATTATACTAGGTACGTCAAAATTCTATAATATCCGAAATATCGTACGGTGTATCATACCAACAGATTTGTATACGTAGGGACACATCAATGTTAATGGCATTATTGAGCGTTCATATGTGTTCTGTATTCTCACTGTTAGACATTTAAAGAATATTTTTAATATGAATACTACATTACTAATATACATACAACATTTTTAATATAGCTACTATACTATAGATGCTATTGTATTCAATATGATAATTTGTGTCGAGGTTAAGATCAAAATCAAGGTCAGTGTTTAACTAACTATAAGAAACTTACCATATATAGTCGTAACGTCACTAAGGCTACAATTTACCTGTCGCCATATTCTACTACTCCAAACAGTAAACAATGTTCGCAAGACGTAATTAATATCACATATGACGTATAAAGATATTAAAAAAGCTAAAAGGTATAGACAAATCATTTTAAAATAAAGCACATGAACGAACTAGAACCGCAATCAAATAATAAAGTAACACTGTAACAGAACCCAATCGAATCGCGGACGAATTTTAATTTATGTTAATATGAATAAAACACAATGACGAATCAAAGACCATTGTATTATAATAACTTTAAAGTTATAGCTGTAATTGATAATACAAAAAATCTTTAGGTACAAGAATATAAAAAGAGAATCATCTGCAATAGTTCAAAGAAAATGTGGTGGAAAGTTAATTAAGATGTACTCTATTCTTCACATGCACGAATAACCATAAAAATTGTTTTAACAAGTGTTTGAGGGCAATATGGTAACCCGGTTAATATGGTCACTTTCTTTATAATATAGTCACTTTCTCGGCTTTGTGATACGATAGCTCTTCATCAGTCAATCAAACAATAAAGGGTCAAAAGAGCGCTGCTTTATATTATACTAAATTTTGACAGTTGATATTATATTAAATATTGTCGATTTTAGTATTGTGTAGTGTAGTAAATATTTTTTTATTTGATTTTTCAAAGTGTTCCTAATTATTGCCAAAGCTTGTGTTCTGTTTTTTTAAATATATATATATTAGTTGAAGTATACGACTTTGTATTTTTATCACTGGCTTCCTCCTACTTTTGGTTTTACAGGGTGGCAAAGCTTAAGGTGACTATTACCCTCACTTACCTTAGTTATGTATTATATATTTAACATAGGTTTTTAACGTTAGTGTAAAATGATCCTTACAGGTAGAGATGGAGTAGGAATAATTGCCGAGTTAAAGGCATTGCAAATATAAAGACCGGCCATTTTTTTTATTCACATGGCTTACTAACAGTCAACTTACACTATAACAATCTTAAATAACAGAAAATTTTCTTAGGCTAAGTGTAGTGACTACTTACTATTTTTTTACTGATTAGCTTTTTTTATCTGCACCCCCCGACGGCTATTAAAACCCAAGACCCTATTGTTTGTTGGTAATAAACCGTAGGGGGGGGTTTTATAGACAGGTGGGGACCCCCCTCCCTTTTTTATTATAAGATTTTTTTTTATTATACCCTCACCCCTTTTGGGGGGGGGGGTGCTTTGGAAACTTACTAGTTATACTAGTAAACACAGCATGGACTTTACTACCTGGAAGTTTATTCGAATCCTGTAATAGTAGGTAGTAACAAAAAAGAACACGGACTCTCCTCCTCCTTGTGTCTATTCTATCTCCTCGTCTACACAGCAAACGAACTTGACGTTTCAACAAAGTGAGCCTCGATAATACGCACGAAGTGGCAGAACTTCAAAATGTATAAATGTTGTCTTTTTTCTCAATCTTTTTTCTCACATGTCTACATTTTCCGGTTTGGTAGAGATCGCTTCTAAGCGATAAAACCGCCGATTGTAGCTTTAAATAATTTGTTGTTTTTTGCTTTTATTTTTTTATGGTGTACAATAAAGTATATTTCAATAATTCGTTAATTCAATGTTTTTGATTACGTTTTTGTAATTACATATGATACAACTGGAAGGTATACTTCTCTTTACCAAGCTCTTTACCCATTTTATACGCTTTGAGTTTAACCTGTCACAGATATTACTAACACTATACCTAAAATTGGAAGAAATGTGAATTGTGCACCTAATAGTAAATTCGTCAAATAAATTTAAAGAAAAACAACTATATATTATCTATATAAAATCTTTTTAAGATTTCACTTCATTAATGTTCAGTATATATTCCACATGAAGCTAGATATGGGGGACAATGTTTATATATGATATTAGAGTTGAGGCTGTCGTCTCCATCTTAGTTTAAGAGGATTGTCTCTAATTTGTTACTGTCTGTGATAATAGCTCCTGGCTGCTGGGGTCGTCCGCATTATTTTGTTAACCAATTTTCTCTTTCATTTGTCTATTTTGTGTCAACTAAGATTCATTGATCTATTTCCATCTAAATAATTCAAATATTATGTCAATAATACAAAGTTTCACTATCAATGTATTACCTTATAAAACTGTTAGCTGTAACGACTCTAACAGGAATTGAAACATTTTGCAATTTTAAAGTAGGTATTCACTTTTGAAGATTATTATTAAATTCAATATTTGCGTTAAGAAGCGCAACTTAAATTCCATTATAAAAGATACCTACATATAATCGCTCTAGAGTAGAACCACCGTGGTCAAAGTTACCACTTTAGCAATTATGTAACCGTTCAATCTCTTATAAGGAGTCTAACAAATCCTGCTAAAAACTATTATTATTGCCCTGGAATAATGTTTCAAAACGCTCTCAGAAATGAGTCTTTGAAAAAAATGTCTTTGCCCAGGAGTGGAACGTCTATAGGCTGTTACTTTACTTGGATATTTTTTATAGGATGAGGGTAACAAACGAGCACACAGTCCACCTGATGGTAAGTAGATGCTGTGACAAATCGACATCTACATCTAGCCTCAATTACGAATAAAAATGCAGATGCGTTATCACTCGTGAGGAGCAAGATGGAATGCCTCGTTTCCAGTAAAAATTTGTTTAGTAAATCAGTAGGAATTCGTAAATACTTGACGAGATGTGACGTATAAGTTTTGTAGGATAAATAAAAACATTGAACTTTGTTTTACAAAATTTATTTTAATGTGAATAGGTAATTTCGATTTATAAGCACAGTTCACTCACATAAAACAATTCGGCATCACATATTATCATTCAACACAAATCAAATTGTTACATACCTGGCAATTTTTTCATTGTATATAACCGTGAATAAATAATTTAGTACCATAATTTAAAAATAAGACTTAATTACAGTGTCATTATACATAAATATAATAAATAAATATATAAAATTAAGTACTTATACTTAATTTTATTAAATCTATAGGTATATGAAATTATTGGAACAAAATCAATTGAAAATATCTTTAAAAAAATATTACAATTGTATAACACAAACTTTTACTCCAACAGAAAATTTTATTTGCCAAATCGGCTTACTATAACTGATTGATCTATATCCTTTTCTAAATAAGTTATGTGCAAACTAACCTAATGATGGTAAGAGAAAATAATGTCCTCCTGGCCATGGCGACAACTTACGAATTTTACCGGAAGCTATCAACTGGTAAATCGTAGTTTGCAGACCATCCGAGCAGAGACCGAGCATCTCAGGTGTATTCCTCGCCGACACCAATGAAATTGTTAACTACATTTTTAAGCGCTGATTTACTACGTGCTCGGCGGTGAAGGAAAAAATCGTGACAAAAGGTGCTTTCCTGAAGAATATAAATATTTAAAAGACATGTGAAAGTCGCCAATGTGTACTAAAGCAGCGCGATGAAAATTAAAAATAAATGAAGGCTATAACTTTATGTCTTAACTCTAAACCCCTAAATCCTATTTAACATATAGGAGGATTAGGGTTGAGACATCAATGGGAGTATGTGGTAAGATAACACTTATGGCATGTTTCTAAGCCAGCCGGAAAATGACCAAAGACACATCGTATTCTGTTTGCGTCGATAAAAACTCCCTTACATTTCTTCATCTCTAATCATCTCCCTTATCAACACGTTTACGACGAGGTCTCTCAGGGCCAACAAACATTGTAAGGCATTGCTTTTGAAAGTGGGGATGTCAACGCGGTTACGCGGTATGTTACCGATAAAATGGCTAAACAGGCTGTTATTAAAATCCTACCATTGCCACCCTACCACTGCAAGCTCAACCCTATTTTGTTATTGTATGGGCAGATATAAAATAAATAACACGTAAGCTATGACAGTTAAATGAAGTCACACTCAAACCCAGAAACCAACATATATAATAGATATACCTGTCCAGCTCCTTTCAATATATCTTCCCATATATAGGGTATATGTATCTATACATCTTCAATATATCGCTAATTTTGTCGATAAGTTTCCGTCCAGGGCGTCTCCTGCCAACTGACTTCTGCAGCATAAAATTGCTTTGTCACTCATTCTTTCTACGTGTCCAAGCCACAAAGCATTTCTTTCATAATTCTGGTCACAACATGGTCTTGCAAATTCTACTTGCAATTGTACATACTGCTCTCTTATCACACAAGTTTTAACCTATCTATAGGGTTGTTTTGAAATAACCGACATTTTTAATTTGTAGTCGGTCCATTCTCCAAACAAAAATAAATTGTCTCCTTTACAGATGAGGTTCAGAATAAGTAATATAGGCAAATGGTGAAGAAAAATTAATTTAAAAAAAATCTCAAACATTCTATCCTTTATATCTTTTAAATTCAAAATGTGTGGTAATGCATTATTTTAATTGATGTTTCTGCACACGCACACAATCGTAGGGATCGTTCGGTAGGCAAAACGTTGTTGCCCAAAAATCACATCCAATTTGGGATAATTTTCAATAAATTGAGAAGCCTTATTTACTCGTATTTCCAGAAATTGCAATAACGGTATATCACTATTTATATATTTGAACTTAGGTTTAAAATTTGGCTACTCTTTGAAAAATTCTGTATATTAGAACCACACTCAACATACTCCTTAGTGACCACATTTTTTACTCGCATGCTCTTCTGCCATATTTAACAATTACTATTAATTAGAGCAAGAACCAACACGGCATTGTAGATGGTCATACGTGTCTATTCTGGCTTCCCACGATAGAGTAAACCAACAATTTATGGTTATACATAAATATTCAGTCCAGGTTGGATTCGAACCCAAAACATCACAGACCTAGTAGAGTACAGATGTATAAATAAAAATATTTTAGCAGAGTAACATAAATAAATTGCTGCTGACGAAAAGTTTTAATTAAAAGTAAAATCAGACTTCAAAGAACTAAAAAGAATGAAATAATTTCCACATAATAGTTTCAAAAAAGTTCTGAGGTAACACATATTTAAAAAAACATACAGTCGAATTGAGCACCTTCTCCTTTTAAAGTTGGTTAAAAAATTAAGTATTTTAAAAATAGTAATAAAACGCTAGTATTTGAGAACTTCTTCCTTCAAAAATCTTTAATAGCATAAGCGGTTTGAACAACAACTAATTATAGAGAAATAATATTACTAATCAAAATATAGTATAATATTTTAGGAATATAACAAATCCGCAAATCTGCAAACAAGTTGCGTGGATCATCTAATTTCGATAAGCAAAATTCAAACGATATTTCAAAATAAGAGGGATTGTTACCCAACAGTTTATATTTCAGTATTTTTGTTCATTCAATTAAACACGTGTACTTAACTACAACTTCACATTCAAAAAGCATAATCACAGCATTCCTAAAAAACACTTATCTTAATGGCGGTTATTACATTGTCGGCAATCTGGAGAGCATGGATTACAAGGAACTGGCGGACCGTGTGGATGCTGAAACGGCAGTAGTAATGGTGTGGACAAAGCCGGTAACGCGGGAAGCGGCACCAGCCATTCGGAACCACAGACTCGTCCCATGACGAGTGCTGGTAAGAGCGGCGCTCTTGGGCCCACTGGTCTAAATGCTGACCATCTTGATTCTATTTCTTCCGTGCTCGATACTGAGGCTTCGAAACTTGCACTAGAAGAACCTCCACTTGACAAAGTCCTTTCATGTTGTCCCTGCAAATAAATTGTTTACTGTAACCTTTGTGATAATTTTAAGGTTGTTGAAAATATACTCTGACACTGAACAAGTAAATTTTATTGTTAGTAATAAGAAAGTATATAAAAAAAATGCAAGGTTCAAAGGGAAATATATCAACGGAAACCCGAAATTCATTGGCTGGTGATGGGGATCAGTATTACCAGTGCTAGTGTATTAGCTTTTTGCTCATCATTTAAATATTTATTATTAAAAATAATTATATATTAAATAAGTATTTTACATTTTTAAAACAGAGTTAAAAGTAAAATTGTTTTCTTCTAGACCCATACACATTTAAATACCATATAAGACTATTTATTTCAAAAACGAGATATAGATAGACAAAAAAAGATTAAATATTACAGTGTCTTCCAGTTCCATATATAAAGATTTATTTCCTGAGCTCTAAATTTACCGACAACACAGATAGACTATAAAGCGAGTTAGTGTAAATGTGTTAAAAAAGCTGCTGTTAAGATGTAAAACATTATTTGTTTTTAAGAATTTGTTATATAGATTGGCAGTCCCGAATTTTCAATGTAAATGAAAAACCATAAAAGATTAAAGCTAGTAACCAGAAATATCCATCCTGAAGATGCGTTAGCGGGATTGCATTTTATGGAAAATTTGAAAAATATAAAACAATAAATAATGACGTTAACATTTTATTCAACATAACATAATTTCATTCACCCATTACAACCTATAAACGTCCACTGATGAACATATTACAATTACAAGATTACAATATTTATACGGTTTAAGACATTTATTTCTCAAAAGGAATACAATTCACTTATCATGAGAAATAACAAGTTAATAATTAGATACTAAATACATAAACTTATGAAGAACGGCAGTTATTTGCAAATGATCTGTTAAGTAGTGGATAGGCAAAATCTTGTTACTTGTTGTGGGTAATGAGAAAAGTACGTGTACAATTACATATCGTTATTGAAATAAAGTCTATAGCAATTACACATTGTTCATATTTGCAAGCAATTTAGATGGTATTTTTATAACATAACATAACATAACATAAACACTCACGCCTGTCACCCAGAGGGGTAGGCAGAGACTACAGACTTCCATTTGGCACGATCCTGCCACACCTCTCTCGCCTCCTTCACATCCATACACCTACGCATACATGCTCGTCGGTTAAGGGTACTCCTAATTTGGCCCGTTTTCAATAAATCGCCAATTTGGTCGATAAATTTTCGCCTAGGACGTCCCTTTCCGACTCTGCCATTCACTTCTGCAACATAAATTTTCTTTGTCACTCTTTCCTCATTCATTCTTTCCACATGACCAAACCACCGAAGCATTCCTTTCTTAATCCTGGTCACAACATCATCTTGCAAACCACACTCTTCTCTTATTACACAATTTCTTACCCTGTCGTTCAGATTCAGCCCCAACATACTCCTTAAGGACCGCATTTCTTTGGTATTTTTATGTTAATGGTTATATTTTAAATAATTGGTATAATCAAATTAATTAAAGAAATAACATTAGCTTTTTGAATAAGTTATTGGTATTTAAAATCGAGAAAAATATTTTAAGATGTGGTGCTTTAATATTTTTTTGTATAAAATAAAGGACTGGATCTCTTTTATGTTATTAGGCAATTTATTATATAACTCTGCTCCTTCGTATAATATATTTTTTCTTCCGTAGTTACTTCGAGGTTGTCTTAGGCAAATGTTATTTTGTCGTCTAGTAATACGTTTTTGTATTAGTTCCTTTCTTTGTAAACGTTATTTTAGAGTGTATATCTTTATTTAATAATTTATGTACTAATATGCATGTATTATATTTATAAATCTGTGATAGTGTCATTAATTGAGTTTCTTTGTAAATTTTTTCGGTGGGAGTTAGATAGTGATAATGGAATAATAGTTTGATTATTTTGTTTTGACATGTTTCAATTTTTTGATTATTTTGTTTTGACATGTTTCAATTTGCTTTAGATTTGTTTTAGCCGCAGTACCCCATACCTCTATTAGGTAGTCTAGATGAGGTTTTATCATGGAGTTGTATATAATATATCTCACTGATTTTGGCAGACAGCGAATATTACCTCGAAGCGCACCCATGATAGAAGATAGCTTAGATCTTAATTTATCTAGGTGCGGCTGCCACGTTAAGTGTTTATCTAGGTGGAGTCCAAGATACTTTTCTGTACTTACTTTGGTTAAAGGTTCATTATTTATGCGGAGAGTTAAGCGATTTTCGGTTTTTTTTTTGTTTTTAGCGCTGAAAATAATGTAACTAGTTTTACATGTGTTAACAGAAAGCAAATTTTCTTGGAACCATCTAGAGAGTGCATCCAAATCCTGCTGTGCTTGTTTAATGATCTGCTCGATGTCCTTAAAAATAAACATGTGTCGTCAGCATATAGTATTATATCACTTGACAGGTTAAGGTTATGCACATCGTTTACGTATATTATGAACAGCAAGGGACCGAGAATAGAGCCTTATGGTACGCCGCAGGCTAAAGATTCGTGATTACTTTCGATATCACCGATCCTAACAATTTGCTGTGTGTTAGAGAGATATGACCGAAACATGTCGTCCCTGATGCCAATATCATATAGTTTTCGGAGAAGCAGGCTAAGGCTAATTGTATAAATGACTTTTTCAGATCGATAAATATACCGAGTGCTGCGCGTTTTTCATCAATATTGTTTTTCAACTTTGTCACAAGGTCAATAGTTGCAGTTAGTGTATTAGATTTTGAGCGGAAACCACATTGATTATTTGATAAGAAGTTAATAGTTTTAAGATAATTATCTAAGCGTTTATATAATATTTTCTCGTAAATTTTAGAGATAATTGGGAGAACTGAGATAGGGCGATAATTGCCTGGGTCGGTCTTTTTTCCTGATTTAAAAATTGGTCTCACTTTTGCTACTTTAAGAGGATCGGGGACGAATTCGTTTTGTAAACAATGGTTGATATTCATTGTTAATTTGTGTAATATTAAATTTTTGAAGCATTTTATGGTTTTGCAACTAATTCCGTCTAAGCCCGTGCTAGTGTTTGGATTAAGTTTATCTATAATTTTACCTACTGCCTCTTTCGTAGTTGAAGTTAGATAGAGCAGTTCGTATATACTAGAATTAGCCGTTTGAGAGCTAGGCTGTGTAAGTGGTTTTTCCTTACGCATTTTAATTTTGTTTGCTAAAATACAAACTATAGTAGCAAAGAAAGTATTGAGATAATTACATATTTCTTTAACATCTGTAATTGGGCCCATTTGTATATCTAGTTTTGTAGGAGCAGAGCACGACTTTGTTTTGTTACCAGCTAAGTTACCGATCAACTTCCACATCTTTAAAGGTTTTCTTTCACAGTTTTGAAGGCTTTGTAATAGTAGTTATTTTTAGTACTCTGAATTTGCTCAGTCACGGTATTTCGTAGGGCAATAAAGTCTTTTCTTATTGATTCGTCGTTGGGATTTTTTTTGTAAATGGACCACAGCTGATTTCTTTTGGTTATCATTTTAATTATGTCTTTATTAATCCAGTCTGATTTAAATTCATTTTGAATTTTGAATTTCGGTATTCTATGTTTATTTACTGCTTCTTTTATTATATGTTCTAGGCTATTGTAGTCATTATCGGATATATTCATTATTGTACTTTCTACTTTAGAGTATATAGTTGTGTAATTTAAGGTATGATACTTTACTCTCTTTTTCGTTTTCGGTTTATAATCGCCAATTTCTAAATATATTTGCTTGTGGTCTGACATTGGCGATTCTACTATAGTCATATGGAATTTATGATTTTTCAAATTGGATGAGACTTGGTCAAGAATTGATTTTTTTGTTGGTGTATCACGGGTACTAAATTTTGCATCAATTTTGTTGAGGATTGTGTGTCCATTTTCTAACTGTATATTTGTATAGTTATTAATTGATTAGTTAGGATTGAGCAGATCGTAGTTAAAATCGCCAAACACTAAAGCTCTTTGCCTCCTTATCAGCTGCTGTGAGTATTCCTCCAAAAACCCATTGTTGTTTGAATTCGGAGTTTTATATATAGCTCCAATGTCCAACGAGTACTTATCTAAATGAACCCATAAGTAGCGATTATCCTCTGTACAAAGATCTTCTATGTAATTGTGTTTTAAGCAGTCGTGGACAAATATGGATACTCCACCCCATCTGCCATTTTCTCTTATGTTATAATAATGGGTGTAGTTTGGTAATTTTAAACTTTTGGCTTCAGATTCTGACTTGATCCAGGTTTCTGATAGTATAATTACATGCACAAGACTGTTTATGTTATATTGTATAATGCAGTTTAATTCATCGAGTTTTCCTGGCTTCACTATACTTCGTGCATTAGCGTAGAGAAATTTTAAGGATTTAGTGTTTTTTATTAGGTTAGTGTATGAATCAGTTTCTTCATGAGTAGTGTTTGGCGATGTGTCGTCTGTATTTTACATTGTTAGTTTTTTGGCTGGATTTTAGTAATTTTAGGTGTACCTTTGACATATTTTATAGTAAGGTTTTTTTCACCTCCACCTAGTCGCCGTTTCAGTTCGTCTCTCAAATTACTTCGATACTTTTGTTGATATGGTGTCTCATCAGAGTAGATTTTAATATTGTCAGATTTTATGTTGGACCTTTTGCATAGAATTGATTTTGCTACTTCGGATGTCGAGAATATAACCTTTATAGGTCTGGATTTATCAGGATTATATTTACCTAAACGGATAGTTTTCGTCGGTTTTATGCAATCTGGAACAGCCATTTTTATTATTTTCTTTACTTCTTCGCTATCGTGGATGTTTCTCTCTTCGGAGTTTGAGGATCGTATCCTTTTTTTTTATAGGATAGGGTGACAAACGAGCACACAGTCCACCTGATGGTAAGTGGTTGCTGCGGCCCATAGACATCTACATCTATCTTCCATTACAAATCAAAATGCAGATGCGTTGTCACCCGTGAGGACTAAGATGGAATGCCTCATTTCCAGTAAAAAGGGTCTCCGGTTCTCTACACTCACCATACGAAATACAGCAGCATTAAGCTACTATTTCACGCTGGTATTCTGTGAGAGCGTGGTCCTTCCCCGGTCGAGCCGACCCATTCGTGCCACAACTATACTACTAATATAATTGCAGCATGGCTCTACCACGTAAAAAATATCTCTTTTATCCCTCGTATGATAACGTTTTTCTCCCTCTGAGATCGTTCGTAGGTCTCCGATATTAAATCTTCATAGCCAAACATTTCATTTTCGATAGTCTCCACTCTTTTCTGAATGTTAACTCTGAAACCTGAGATGTAAGCTAACTCCGATTTTATTTTGACCTGTTCTGAGGATAAAAGATCAGTAGTTATCTTGATCAAGCTGATCTCTTCCTTTATTGCTGAGACATCTTGGGCAAGTCTGTGAAGATTTTCAGTTTGGGTTTTAGCCATATCCTTTATAAGCGACTCGATTTTAGCTTGAAATTTATCAAATTGTACACTAAAGTCACCATGCGCCTGTTTTCTTTTGGCGCGAAGATTTATCTGGTGTTATCAGTCAGGGTAATCTTTCACAAATCTGGTTGTGAACCACTAGTCCTTTCAAGCTTATTAACACTACTTGTGATTGCTATCGAATCTCTATTGCCTTCGTTATACATGTTAGGCGACTGCGGTGGCGATTGAACGACACTCATCGTGTGTTATTGTTTAAATATATATATATATATATATATATATATATATATATATATATATATATGTATTTACTTGATATCTCGCTTGCGCAGAACCACGATGAATAAGAGCTGGATATTAGTAGCCCTTCTCTGTTGACGCTCGCCGCTCACTTAAGTATGTTGACATATATCAATAACGACCTAGGTTGCGCAAATGAGTTATTACTAAATAAGAACTTGTGTAAAGAGCACTTGGTTTCACTTTTCTTTAAATCACTATTATTACTTTTATAAAATTATCGTCGACACGTCCGTACCGTAAGCTTCCTAAGTACGTTTTTACCGTCTGGAAAAAAATTGGGTGTGGCAAAGATATTTAAAATTTTATATTATTTTACATTAAATTTTATGAAATTGATCTATCAATAAATACTACTAATTGGGTACGTATTATTTTAATTTCGATAGTTTTTAATTGATTTATTTATTTAGTATATATTTAAAAAAAATTGCCGTTATTTTTTTAGTACTTACCAAAAGTTTATTTCGCATTAGTAGTATTTATTGATAGACCAACTTCATAATATGTTAACGTAAAATAAAATAAAAACTGTAAAGTATCACTGCCATAGGGCTTTTTATTCCAATCACTTGTTACACCCTATTATTTCCAGACGGTAAAAAAATCAATCAGTATAACACAAACTTTTATTCTAACATCAGAAAATATATTACCCATGTTGGGTTTCCCCTAAATATTGTCTCATTCCCGCTGATTTTGCCATAACTGCCACATATGACTGAGGGGTTGTTAAGACATCCACGGGACGATATGGGGTAGTACATATACCTACACCACCACTACAAGGAACATTATAGTTAAAAATTGAAAAAACAATTACCTTAGTGCTAGTGAAGATCACATAAAAGAGGTTTTACTCTTACAATTTTTTTCTTTACATTCACATATTTGCTCCGTGTATTATATTATACACATTTTTACTTACATGAATAGCGTTACAATGCTCAACAGCTCGAAGCAGGTCATGGTTACAGCGTCGGAGAACTAACTCTAGTACTGAGCGTTTTTTTCCAGGAAAGAGTTTCCTTAGCATTTCCAGCCCTGCCGTACTTACTGCGTTTTCACCATCTGGCATTTCTTCGTTTCCATCACTGTTACTAAAAAAAATAATAAATTCAATGTTATGATTTCTTATATTCATTAAATGAAACTAGTTTTTTTACAGATTTTAATTAATTCATTATTTATTTTATGTCTTTTGGTAAGGCAAATGTGGCAGATATTTTTATAATTTATGCTACGACAGTTAAAGTTTCTTAGAAGTGTTTTATGTGTATAAAACTTAGACCGATCAAGCGTTTTAAACGTTTTATTAATTGTAGACAGTGTTAAAGTCTTAGCGATAATAACAACGATTATTTCCTATAGGTTATTAACATTAAAGAGATAGGATATTATAGTGTCCAATACTGGCCTTATAACAATATAAATAATGCCACATTAAACCCTTGTAAATTTTGGGACACTTATTATCCTAATATGTATCTACCATTTTCGATACAGGTATGCGATATCCTAAAAGTCACTGATGTAAAAATATCTGAAGTTCTAACATTATTACCAAGGATGTGTCACAATCATAACACGATAACGATATTGAGAAAAAATCAGAAATGTTCTATTGTGAATAAATAATAAATCTAATCGCGTACGCAGCAGTAGTCGTCATGGGGTACGAGGCTCGCTGCTCTTCTCAAGGTACTGTGCTTATCCATTCTAATCCACAGCAGTTCACCTACCTTCGTGTCAGCCAATGCATTAAATTAAATAATACAGAACATAAATCGTTCGCCCACATAGTTCATCCGCACCGCATCGCTCCACTATAATTCTTTGTTTTATTTTTTCTATAAAAAACGACTAGTACTGAAGAAAAATATATTTGCATTCTTGTATGGAAATGTTTTGCTACATCATCGAATTCGAGCCCAGGGCATTCCATCTAGTAAGTGCTCCGATCTTTCAATAAAAGGTGACCATTAGAGTTTTAAAATTAAAAGATATTAAAAGGGCATAGATACAAGATAATAAATTACCATGCCCTTGAAACTAAGGCGACATTGCCAGCAGAATCAGGTGAAGCGCTGCAACAGTCGGGCATGGAGTCACTGGTCTCGCTGTCGATATGAATAGGCTGAAAGAAAAATTATATCTTTCATGTACGTACGTCAGTTATCAAAATTCCATTCCATAGCCACAATACATAGCATTTTTTATACATTTATTTACAAAATAACAGAAATGAAACAGTAGATGGGCAGTAGCATTTTCCGGATAACAACTCAATAGTAGTGTTGCGCGCCTAAGTTGATGTCTGGTACCTGGCACTAGCGCCGTCTAGTGTCGGGGAAGAGAGCGAGGAGAGCTTCCTAGAAAATGCCAATCTAGAACTTTCCACCAACAGCGCCATCTAGTATCTAACGGAAGAATTACGCTTTCTAGAAGGGTCCACTCTCAAACTTTCTGAACTTAGTCGCTCGGGACCGGTATTTGCTGGAACATTCTGGATGTTTCGGTGGAAAAGGCGTATTTAAGGCCGCTAGAGCCGCGATCGGGGCAGTATTGAATTTGGCGATACAAGCGAAGCTTCGGAGCGAAATAAAGTGAATCAGTGTGTATAATTATTAGCGTCTTTTAAGTTTTTATTGGTGTTCGGTAATTAAAGTGTTAATTTTGGTAATTCAATCGGCAGTTTTTATTGTCACGAACTCTAAGCCCGTAACAGTAGTTAAAAAAGTGTGGTCGGTAACCCGCTGGCCAAACGTGGCAAGTATGTCAAATATCGACTTTTGAGAGGCTGTTGAAAATCGGCGCTATTTGTTGTTATTACTAGCTTATGGAATAATCGCCTTCCTTCAAATGGACTGTTAACTCATTTGTTACTTTAAGGTTATGAAAAAAAATTCACTCACAGTTTGATCCTCGAGCGCTGAATCGGGTTCAGGTCCAGGACTCGGACAGGGTCCTGTTACTCGCATCCCATAGATTCGCCCTGGCGGCAATGATTCCAAAGGTGTTCCGCTTTCAACAGACGCTAAATGTAATGCTATTTTATCTTCGGCCGCTTGCTGCCTTTTCAAGGCCACCTGACAGAAATTATACTCAATACTAAAAGTCCAATACATACTGAAAAGGACCAGGTCGGTGTCCCTCTTGATCCTGAAAAGGACCAATTGAAAAGGACCTAGCGGATCGGGTACTAAGAAACAGGAATCGAGGCTTCTCTCGATCCAGCCTCCTATAACGCCTACGTTGGGTTCGGGAACAACGTATGTGATCTCCGCAACGGAGTAACACACAAGGGCGATAACCTCTTCCTTTTCAGCAAGTAGGTTCAGACGGGGATTACGGGTCTTCCGAAGTCGTCCCGGTCCCAACGCCTTAATTCTTCGATGTGGACTGTATAATTTTGAGGGATGAATTTCTTGGGAATAAAACAGCAATTATCTTCAAACCGTTCCGTGAGAGAGTAATCACTTTTCCCTATCACTTCCCTACACTTTTTCTTTCTTGACTGCTGGTTTTGCACTTTTCCCGAAGGATTTTCGTACTTTCCCGAAGGATTCCCGAACGATTCCCGAATGAATTGCAATAAAATCAATTTACTATCCTACCCCTAAGCTAAACGCGAAAGTGAGCCGCGCCATCTGCGCGCTTGCGCAACTTAATTACATGAATTTGTACTATTACTCTCTCACGTTTCACTCAATATCTTTATTTATTCAAATCATATACAAATACAATTTATCAATATAGGTAGTACAAAACAATATCTACACCATGATATACATCATATCCTCATATCATAAAAAACCTTTTATTTATTAAACGAAAACTGCCTATTTTACTCACAAGTTCGAAATCGAAATTTCTTAAATATTTAACACAGAAAGTTAAAACAATGTTTCTCACTTGAATTTATACATAAGCTAACCAATACAATAGTTTAATTTACATTTTTTCTATTTATTTCACTATTTAAAACACTTTTAAATTTCTTATACAAAACTATCATTATTTCACTTATACACAGGAATTTTCACATGAAAATAACACAGAATTTACCTTTTTAGCACGTACAATTAACCTGAAATATTTTACAAGTAATTTTTACATAAATCACTGAATTACAAACATTTTAAATTTTTACATATTCGGCCTCCTAAGGGCGTGGCCAGCGTGCTTCCTTGTACTCACGCTATGTGAACAACTAACTTTGCACGGCTCTCGGCTATCAGAAAAAATTAAATTATGAAATACACCAATTTTGACCATATTAGGCAAATTAAATGCTTTTATACAATTTTCGAACTGTATGAAACTATCTTTAATCAGATAACAATATAAATGAATGTTCTCATTAATCAATCATAACAAATAGGCATTTGTTTTCGTTCAAAACGTATCAAACTTATACAAAACAACATTTATGCAATTAATATCCATTAATTCTGCCTATGCACAGAGTGATTATCTCGACCGGGGAACAAAGCCGATCTTTAACTTCGCTTTAATATTCTTATGAATTTACATCATTTGAAAGATGATTTCAACCGGGGAACAAATCCGGTAACATAATTTATATCTTAAATTCCTTACGAATTTATTAAGCGATATTACTTAGGAAAACAAACAAACTAGTCCGGCCTGGGAGTCGAACCCAAGACCTTCATATCATTAATTCGACATTTCTTAAAGATTTAACTAAGCATTCTCTTATCAGAGCGTCGTTGCTCGTGACTGCTCCTTTTTTCATAACAACGTCATCGGTTGATTTAATAAACTGAAAGATTCTTATAGGCGCGTCGCCAACAATCTCCCCCCCGTGCGTTAGCACCATCATTTGGGAGGCGTCGCGGGTACCAGGACTATTATTCTGGATGTAGGTCTCCTCAAGATACCTGTGCTAGTAATGACGTCAACCACTCTGGTGTGACCGTCTGGTCCCGGTAACGTTCTACTAATTTTACCTTTTGGCCACGTATTTCGTGGCAACGAATGATCTATTATCAAAACAATATCGCCTTCTTTAGGTTCCATGAACTTGCCGTTATCACCTGTTCGAGGTATTAACGTAGGCATGTATTCTTTCAGCCATCTTGTCCAAAAATGGTCGGCTAACCTCTGTGCAGCTTTCCAATTGAGTTGACCCGTCAGATGTCGCTCTAAAAATAATCCAGGTGGTCGATCACCACATGAGCGTCCCAGAAGAAAATGATTGGGTGTCAAGCCCTCTTCAGGACTATCCATACTGAATGTTACCAGAGGTCTGGAATTTACCGTATGCTCTGCTTCTAAAAGTAACGTATGTAGAACCTCCTCTCGTGGGCTCTTCTCCTTAAGCGTAGCGGTCAACGCAATTTTAATCGATCTTACTAACCTCTCCCAGGCGCCACCCATGTGCGGTGCTCCCGGAGGTATAAATTTCCATTTAATATATTTCTTAAATGACTCGTTTTTCATGCCCTCATAGCATTCTTCGCATGCTTTCAAACATTTTATTTCCGAATGAAAACACTCGTCTTGAATGAATTTCCAAATTAATATTTCCGCCTTTTTCAAGAGCGCTGTGTCCAACGCGCTATCGGGTCCTTTAACCGACTTTGCTAAAACTTTGTTGGAACACATAACCGACTTTTCGGTTGCGTCGTCGGGTCCTTTAACCGACTTTCTTAAACTCTTGAATTTTTCTACCGCTTGTAAGGTGCGTGTAGTTGCTCCAAGGAATTTCTTAAAGCTGCTAAATCGTCCGTAGTCGGGTAGACTTAACGGTTCTTGCTTTCTTAACGTATTTACGCCCTTTGGCGATTTTTCTTCACCTGTTTCTAAGCTATTTATGGTGTCCACTTGTTTGGGCCATAAATCAGGACTTTTCCTGAGGAATTCAGGTCCTTGAAACCAGCGATGACTTACATCGAAGGTGGAAGGAAAATTTCTAGTGGCGTCGTCTGCCACGTTTTGTGACGTTGGAACCCATCGCCATTCACATGGCTTACTGTGATCTTCGATCTCAGCCAATCGATGAGCAACGAATGGTTTAAAAGCGCGAGGATCCGACTTAATCCACGCTAACACTGTACGTGAGTCTGTCCAAAACACTCTCTCGGACATCTCGTACTTGCTCTCTTCACTAACCGAAGCAGCCAGTCTGCTGCCCATAAGAGCTGCTTGCAATTCAAGCCTTGGAATCGAAATTGGTTTCAATGGCGCTACTCTTGCCTTTGCGGCGATCAGCGTAATCCGCCTTATTCCTTGCTCGTCCGTGGTGACGTAATACACCGCGGCAGCGTATGCTTTTTCACTAGCATCCGTGAAAGTATGTAACTCTCCTTTGCCGATGCCTTCAGCAACGGGTCTAGGTACTTCTAAGTGACCTAATTTCTTCACTTCCGATATCCATTTACAAAATAACACGTGTAACTCGTGTGAAACTTCTTCATCCCAAGAGATGCCTGTCCTCCATACTTGCTGGATCAGCGACTTCCCTTGAATCGTTATGGGTGATGCGAGTCCCAAAGGATCGAAGACTGACATCACAGCGCTAGTTATCTCCCTCTTCGTAGGCGGTCGTAAACCCTCCATCACCTCTTCCGGTGTGCTACGAAGACTTGTGGAAAAACTTATTATATCCCGTTTGATATTCCAAATCAAACCTAACGTGCGCTCTGTGTGCTCTTTATCTCCAAGCGAAGCACTGTCGCTCTTATATTTATTTTCCATATTACTTAAAACTTCGGGTCGGTTGCTAGCCCATCCCCTCAGTTGGAAAGAAGCATGCTTATGTAATTCATACATATCGTTTACTATCCTTTCGGCCGTCGTCACGTCGGGAAATGCCTGTAGGTAATCATCCATATAAAAATTGCTTTCCGTAGCGGAAGCTGCTTCTGGATAGATATGTGCGTTGTCCTGCGCATTTCTATTCTTTACATATATAGCGATGCATGGTGATGATGCCGCTCCAAATATGAGTGACGTCATTCTATACTCTTCCGGTGGCGCGTCACGATTGTGCCGCCATAAGAATCGAAGGCTATCCCTGTCTTCTTCCCGGATTTTCACTTGCAGGAACATTTCCTTAATGTCTGCCATTACTGCCACGCTTCCTTCTCTGAATCGTAGCAGAACTCCGAACAACGACTTCAATAAGTCCGGTCCGGTCAACAACGCATCGTTAAGACAACGTCCGCCCGTCCTTGCGGCGGCGTCGAAAACTATCCTTATTTTCTTCTTTTGTGGGTGAGTCACTGCGAAGTGAGGGAAGGTACCACGTACGTGGGGAAATGGAAATATGGTTCGCTTTCTCTGCGTAACCGTTAACGATGAGATTTTCAATTTGCTTCTCGTATTCCTTTTTCAACTCGCTATTTTTGTCGAGCTTTTTCTCAATATTAAACAGGCGACTTTCAACCTGTGCCCTATTCGATGGCAAGCACTCATTGTCTGTGCGCCATAACAAAGCAGTCTCGTACCTATTATTAGGTATACGACGTACCGTTTTGTTCAAAATATTTAAAGCTCGTTCTTCTGGGTCGTTCACGGGCTTTCTAGCCGATACTCCCAGAGATTCCAAACTAAAATAATCCTTGATTAATTTATCCATATCTTCCTCCTTCTTGGTGGAAATGTGGTTAACAATCTTGATTGGTTTAATGCCACCCGATATGTGACCATGCAAAACCCACCCCAGTTTGGTGAGCGATGCTACAGGTAGGTTCTTACCTCCCGAAACCAATTCACGAGTAACTATGAGATGCCAATTGTCCTGACCAATCAATATGGTAGGCTTGGACCTCTCATACATCAACTCATCCTTGATCGGTGTCAAATGAGAACACCGTTGCAATAATTCTCGGCTTACCGACTGAGGAGCGAGGTTAAGTGACTTAATTGTTTGTACACTTATCTCTTCTAAGTCGCTCGAATAAATGCCTTTTATTTTAACGTTTAAGCGATACGAACTATCGTCGTTAATTCGCTTACCTCCCACGGCTTCGATACGTAATCCCTCTTTACGTCCGCGAGGCGCTAACTTCTGAGCCATCCACTCCTCTATGAGTGTCATGGTCGATCCCTCATCCAGAAGAGCTGTTGTCCTGACCTTTCCTCTAGGCCCATGCAACTC